TACAGTAGTATTATTTAGATAATTAAAATAGGTTTAAAAAATTGTAATTTAAATTTAACGCAAAAGTTGTTTTTTGTGAAACATTTCCCAGTATATAATTAGACCTGTGCGAAGTATTTATAACTACAAACAAGTTTCTTTGCGATCTTCACCAATATTTTTCATTTCAATGTAGTTTACAAAGTTTTAAAAAGTATTAATTTTATCCATTATGAAATAAGCCTTTAATCAAATGTGTTAAAAGTTAAAATGTAATGATTTTAGAAAGTTTCAAAATAAATTTAATATATTTATATATTATATTACAAATATTGAATGCATTTTGTTGTCCACACAAACACCTAATGAATACATGCATAGCTTTCCACAAATATTTCATTTATTTACTATTTTATGAACTTTTCTCCACTCAATACATGTATTGAATAACATTATAAAAAGCATTCATTCATTCAGTGCCTCTCAACACACATTCACCGGTAAATTGAAAATAATATTTGAATACAAACTTTGATAACAAAGTCAAAAGTATTTCAAAAATTGAATTTAACTTAACTTTTTGCGTTGAACTCAATGGTCAATCGTATTATTTAATTTAATAGCCAACAGGAATGGTAGCTTAAGTGAACTTTTAAATAAAATGTTTGGGATTATGATTTTGAGCAAAAAATATTTTGAATTTGATTTTTCTTATCAGTAGCCATGATAAAAAGGTGTGTTTTTTCTATAAAATTTAAAACACTATATCTTATGTATATTTTGTATTGGTTATCATGTTTTAATTTTTATTGAAAAAACACCTTTGAATAGTATTCTAGCTACTGATATATGAATTCTTGTAATATAATAATAATACTGTAGAATATTTTAAAATAAAAATTATATTTACATTATTTATAAAATTGTTGAATGACTTTATAATTGTGGTTAAAATAATCTGATACACTTTTATATTTAAACTTATTTTATTTATCATTAATTGAAACTGTAATTTAAATTTTGTAATTGTTTACGATTATTCAAAGGTTAATAGATTTAACATAATGGGCGTAACCAGAAGGGTTTACTTTTTAAAAATAATATTTAATAATTACGATTTGTATATTATATTGTATTGATATTTATATCCAATACCGTTAGTCCTTTCTTTTTAATTATTACAAACAGGATGACATTTCTAGTAATGAAATAATGAAATAATTATGCAAATAATTTCTCTCTCTCTCTCTCTCTCTCTCTCTCTCTCACTCACTCCTATTGAATACTTTAATCATATTTTAATTAGTCGTTGAGTAGTCTGTGAATACGTTTTCTCTCACTTTTGTATTAATAATTAAAACCAAAACCTTTAGTCCATAAAACGGCAGTAAGTTTTGCTTTACTCATGGATTTCATGCAAATCTTTCTTTGAGTCCAAAGCCCTTAGAGATGATGAGAGGGACGACACACTCACGAGTATTATGTTTAACGAGAGATCCCTTTCCACAGCCGGCACTCAATATACAGTCAATTCTAGTCTATAGTGTAAATGAATTCTTGGATGAAATCTATTATTAAAGTTAAGATAAAACTTTAAACGAATTTTTGCAGAATATTCTGTAGGTTCTCAAGAATTTCTTTATAAAACATACTATTCCTACAGAATATTGCATTATTTCCCAGAATATACCGGAATTCATGGTTAGTCTCTCAAAATACATACAGTAAAGTCATCACTAGTTTATAATTATTTTTATTTGACGAATAATAATAAGTTATAAGCCAAAACTAAAGTATATTAAAATATCTTTAAATAAATTTTTTTTAACTTTTAACTTATAAGCTACTTGTGAACAAAATTTTTATAGTATGCTGTACTACATTAGCTTATTAATTCTGTATTCTTTAGTGTACAGGTAACCTTTTTTATTTAAATAGGTAATCTCAATAAAATAAGTAAATTCTTTGATTAAATATAGCATTCATTAGGGAATAAATAAATGGAAAATTTCTTTTGACAAACATTTTGAAATATACTTAATGTATGGGAAAACATGTTTGCATTAAATGAATACAAGAATTATTAGTATTTTACTGTAAATCGCCTTAAGATTAAACGATATATATGTTTTTATGCACTAACTCTGGGTGTAGCCAAGCATATTATGCAATCTTAATATTTAAAAAATGCCATAATATTCTATATCATATTCTAAACAAACTGAGCTAGTTAAATTTGGAGAATGCAAATATACAATATAAGAAAAAGAATATTCTTTATACTAGAAAATCACAGAATTTCATGTAACAACACAATATAAATATTAAACATTACTGAGTTTGTATGTTAGTCATAGATGTTAAACATAAAAGTGAATGATTTTAAAAATGACATTGACAATATAAATGTGAATAATATAATTATGAATAATCGCTGCATGTCTTTGTCTATTGTTTGTAATTTGTGTTTAATTAAAGTAAACAATTAAATAATTTAATTGCTATTATATTTTGAAATATTAAGTTTTTGTTATATGCAGTATAATTAAACATTTAAGCAATTTTATAAAAGTAATTAATATAATAATTTATAATGAATTCAATTAGTGTAATAACTATTATTAATATCATTAATAATATTGCAACTGGAAAAAGGGTTTCATGTAATTCAGATGTATTTAACATTGCTTTTAAATCATTTGAATTAATTGACAATCCTGTGCAAGAATATAACGTTGACAATAATATTCAAGAATATTCTGGTATATCATTTGAAGAATATTCCGGATCAGATGATAATTACAGTGACATTGATAGTGATATTGACAGTGATTATGAATTACCCGAACATCACTCTAATTCAGTAAATTGTAAATATGATATATTAAAAATTGCAGAATATATCAAAAAACACCTGACACATTCTTATAAAACTGTTCGTAGTAAATGCAAAAAGTGTACGGATTTGCAAATGTTTTATAAAATTAGACATTTTGTTAATAATAATTATGTTGGTTTTAATGGATATAAAGTGCTAGTTATTAAAGAATATTTATATCAAGAACTTATTAAAAGTATCCAAAATTTATTGCATGTATCTGATGAAAAATTACAATTAATTGCTATTAAAAAAGCACGTGATTTGAATTGTGATTTTAGGGCTAGTTTAAGTTTTATTAATGATTTTAAAAATGAGTGATATTTCCAATCGAAAAGTTACTGTATATGTAACCAAAGGACAAGTTAAAATTCAAACAGATATTGATAATAATGTTACAGAATTTAGACAAAACTTTAATAATGATTATATAAATCAATATAAAAGTAAATTAAACTTTAATTCAGATCAAACTCCGTTTAATAGAGAAATGGTACCCAAAAGAACCCTGACATTAAAATCCCAAAAACACGTTAAAATTAAAATACAGAATCGGAATGCTATGACACATTCATATACAGTAATGCCAACTATATCTATGTCTGGCCATGTTTTTGGGAAAATTAATATTATTTTCCAAGAATTAACTAAAACTGGAGGTTTTGGTCCTAATGTTTTAAAAAAAAGTACGGAATTTGGAGACAAAACTCATGAATATTTGTGTATTTTCTACAAGTGGTAAAATTGAGACAAAAACATGTAATGATTGGGCAATAGATTTATTTAATATTAACAATTTTCCAGAATATATCAATTCTGGTGAAAAACCCAAAATTCTGTTATGCTTTGATGCATATTCTGGTCATTCTAATGATAATTTTTTTAATAATTTTGACCTGGTTAAGATAGACATAAATATACTTAAAATTCCTGAATGTAATACAATATATCTCTAACCATTGGATATATTTTTTAACCACGAATTAAAGTATTTTATGCGTAAAATTAAAAATGAAGTAATGAATCAAAACTTAAATATTAAAATATATGATAGGTTTATTGAAATGCAAACTTGGTCATTGATTTGGGAACAAATGTCTAGCGATAAACTTAATATGATAAAATATTGTTTTAATAAAGGATTCTGTGATAATTCTACTGAATTTATAAGTTTACGTAAAATTTGTTTTAAAAGTAATGTTAGATTTTGTGAAATAACTAATTGCAAAAATACATTTTTTATTAAATGTAGTATATGCGACAAAAATATTTGTTTCAAACACTTTTACATAGCATTTCATACACATTTATAAATGTAAATTNTTACATAGCATTTCATACACATTTATAAATGTAAATTATTAAATGATATTTTTGTAATATACCGGTATAATAAATTATTTGTATAATTTGTATTCAAAATTATTTAATCTTTGAAATTAATATTAAAAATATCAATAAACTCATATATAAAGTGTCAATGTCAATTTACTATTTACTCACTTTTACCATGACATCATTTTATTATAACATGATTCATTAATATTTATATTGTGTTGTTACATGAAATTCTGTGATTTTCTAGTATAAAGAATATTCTATTTCTTATATTGTATATTTGCATTCGCCAAATTTAACTAGCTCAGTTTGTTTAGAATATGATATAGATTATGGCATTTTTTAAATATTAAGATTGCATAATATGCTTGGCTACACCCAGAGTTAGCCCCTTTCAAAAGTTAAAACTCATTGCTTTATATGCTCTGTAATGCATATCCCATTTAAGTACATGTAATACTTAAAATTAAAATTGTGTCATAAACAGCATAGCAACAACGATTTAAAATAATCAATACCTTTCCTTAATATATTAATCAATTAGTAGAATATATAAACTAGGTATTTAATTGTATTATTAGTGTATTACTTATACAGTATTCAGTAAAATCTTTTATATATTTATTGGGTGTTTTATCAAGGTTTTTAATTATTATATTCATATTCTATACAACATTATAATGTCTAAGAAATTTGCAATTAAATTAAATTTTCTTGAGAAATGAGATGTATCATTTTTACCGTATCAAGGTTAAAATTAAAAGTCACTATATTTTTGTTTATCGATGATTTTAATATTTTTATAATTATATAAAAATATTTAAAATGATTTTACTTTCAAACTCTTTCTCATTATTATTTCATTATTCAATTAAAATGGATTTGACGGGAAAGGTAGCGCTAATTACAGGTATACCCAATAATACTAAAAGTGCCTTGACAACTAATTAAAGTTTTAAATATAAGGGTCGGCGTCGGGTATCGGCAAAGAGATTGCACTAAAGCTGTGCTCATTGGGCGCCGATGTGGTCATCACTGATATGAATAGGGATGGCATCGACGCAGTAGTCCAAACGTGTCGTTCCCTTCACAAACGCAAAGCACTGGGAGTTTACGCCGACATCACCCGTGAGAGTGATGTGAAGAATTTGGTGGACAAGACTGTCGAGGAATACGGAAAGATTGATATACTGGTGAATTGTGCCGGAATAGGCCCCATATCCGACTTTCGTGACCCGCATTATATCGAGGTGTTTGACAAAGTGATCAACACTAATGTCCGGGGTATTCAAGTGTTGACTCAATTAGTGGTCCCATACCTCGAGACTACTAAAGGAAATATAATTAACATCTCGAGTGGCTGTGCATTCGCACCGGTATTAAAATACTAGCTGTTTATCCTAACTATCGGGTGTCCCATCGTATCAGTAAGATTTCTAAATTAATTTTAAAATATTTACAATTATATTTTGTTAACAAAAACTATACCAA